AGCAGAAAGCAGAAATGGAAGGGAGGCCTGCAGGGAAGCAGCTGATGGTGTGAGAGAGTTGCAAGCAAGTAGTCAGAGAGAGGAGGCAGGACTTGGGACTGGGCCAGAAGCTCCAAAGTACTTGTCACCATGGTGTGATGGAAGGGCTGGGTCCAAGTGCTGCTCTCTACAGGAGCAGCTCTGAGGAGTTTGTGGTGACCAGGTCACAGACAACACTCAGTTTGTGTACACACCAGAGAGAAGAGGTGGCCAGGTCTGTCTCCTGGGCTGTTGCATTAGGTGGTCAGTGAAGAACAGGTTTGATGAGAGCAGAGGGGTGGATGTGCTGTCTTCTGGGGGCATTGCTGCAAGGGCCAAATGGTGGGACAGGAATAATGAATGAGCTAGTACATAAAGCAGAGGGGATAGCCCTGAGTGTCCTACTACATGAACCCTGGGCTCTGTAACCTGTCCTTTATTGAGGACAATCAGGGGACTGGGACCTTAGGCAAAATGCCTCTGGCTGCAGAGCCAGGACTGCTGGGTGCCCCTGGAGCACCCCAGGCAAGCATCTTTAGACTTTGCCAGCTTGGCTGGGCAGTCAGAGGCATGAGGACTGAAACTCTTTGCTTCGAAGCCTCTGTGTACTATGAAATAAATGGGCTCTGGTGGAAAATGAAAGCAGAGCTCTGTGCACTGCTGAGTCTTTGGGACACTGTGTCCCACTGTGCTTTGCCTTACAGAGTCACAGTGAACTCCTCTAAGGTTACACCTGCTTTAACATCCCCACCTCCTCTAGGAAATAAGGGTAAGTCCCCATAATCCCATCATGCCTGTGCTTAGTGGTTACTGTCCGCACTCCCTTGGCATCAGGCTGTTCTCCCTGTGCTCTCCCAGCTCACCCCTGTGGTTTTGCAGGGTGCAGAAGATGGCAGGCAGCTCTGCTCCTTGGATTGGCAGTGCTTACCTCTTCCTCCAGTCCACCTGCAAGACCATTGTTCTGCCTTCTCTCTATGAAAGCTCCCAGAAGAAACGCAGTGTGTTCAAGGCACTGAAGCTGGCATTAGCAGGTACCCATCCTCTCTGGTATCTTGGCACACTGTCTCAACTCTTCACACAATTCCCAGCCTTTCTTTAACCTCACACTCATGGGTAAGGAAAGCTGGTGCTCACTGCATTTAGGAAAGGCAGTAAAGCAGAGCAGCACTTGTCCTGTGAGAACAGGCTGAGGGAGTTAGACCTGTTCAGCCTGGGGAAGAGGAGGCTTTGGGGACCTCCCAGCTGCCTGCCAGTACCTATGGGGAGGGGAAGTGGAGCCACCCTCTTCCCAGTGGGGCCTGGGGAATGAGGGGCAACAAGCACAAATTGAAACATGGGAGGTAGACACCAGGTACAAGGAGAGACATTTCCCCATGAGGACAGTCAAGCAACTGCCCAGAGCGACTGTGTGTTCTCTATCCTTGGGGTTTTCAAACAAGACTGGATAAAGCCCTGAGCAACTTGGTCTGACCTCAGAGCTCACCCTGCTTTGCATGGGAGGCTGGGCTAGAGACTTCCTGGGCTTCCTTCCAACTTGAACTATCCTGTGAGTTATTCTACTTTATGAATGTTTGTTTAAACCGATTTATGTAAGAGAGGAAAAGATTGCAACTGTTATGAAAGATTAAATTTCTGTCTTTATACCACCACAGAAAGATCATTTCTCTGAGAAGCTGATTTTTAGTGAGTGATAGCCAGTATGAGTTCTTTTCTGATATAAATAGACACAATGACATTAACTTCAACTGTATGTAACCCTATTTACATCAGAAAAGGACCTGAGATTCAAATGGCCATAGAACCATGTTTCTTTATCCACCCTTGCACCAAGCTGACTGCAGAGGAAGAGTAATTTGAAGGGTTTCTCACATTTACCTAGAATGGCTCTCACGGTGTTCTCTACCTGTCATACTGCTGAGCCTACATTGTTTAATTGGGCTTCTGTAACTGTACTGTCATTTCTTCTGGCAGTCATCAGTCCAGCCAAGTTGGTTAGTTTATTTCAAATAACAGGCCTACTCATCTTGCAGCTTGATCCAAAGATGTGAAGCAGTAGGAAGCTCAACACAGTTGTCCAGTTAGGCTGGATTTATGGCTGCTTTGTGTCACTGGAATGTGACTCTGCTCACACATTTCAAGGAAAGCCCCCAATTTTTTTACTTGGATTTTACTGGGAGCTCTTGTTATGCACAAGAGCTTAACAAGTCAAGGCCCAGTGTCCAGCAGCCTGAATTCTGGTGGCAGGATCTATCATTTGCCATTTGTGAGATGTGTTGAGGGCTCAGAACCAGCCAAAGCTCACCTCTAGGCACAGGGTGGAGAGGAAACCCTGGGTCCCTTTCCAGGACCTTCATCACTGCATGGAGCTCCAGGCACAAGGACTGAAGTCTGTCTGAGCACTGAGCTGAACTTTGCACTTCTTCCATCTCTAAATCTTTCCTGTGCTGCTGGTTTAGTGTAACCATTTCTGTCCTGGAAATGGAACCTCAAACATAAAACCTCCCCTAATAAACAGTGTTGGGATAATCAGCTAGGCTGTAGTACCATATGGCTTCAGTTGGATACCATCCTTCATGGGGACTGATGGTGACAGGGCAGCAGAAACACACTCCTTTCCTCTTGGTCTTACAAACAGGTTTCTTGTCCCTGAGGACTTAATCACAGAGAGAAGAGAATCCAAACTCCATCGCAGGCTTGGGGGTGGATGGGAGTGGGTCTGGGTTGTCTGTCTCATGCCTGGGTAGTGACTCTGCTGCCTCTTCCCTGCCAGACTCCACGGGCAGTGTGAATGGTGTGGACATGCTCAAGGTGCACTGCAGCCACCCACACCTCATCATCCAGCTGAAGTTCTGCAGGCAGGAGAACTGCCGGCAGTTCCTGCGCAGCTACCGGGAAGGAGCACTCCGGGAGTCCCTCCAGAATCACCTCCAGCTCTCCCTGGCCATGACCACAGTGCCTCTTGAAATGGAGCTGAAGGCTGGCAATGAGCACCTGGACAAGATGCTGAAGGATGAGGATCGCTGCCTGGAGTGCATCTACAGGGAAAAGGTGAGTGGGAGAGGGAGGGAGGCCAGTGAGGAGCAGCAGGACTTGGCAAGGTGGGCACAGATCTTGCTCTGCTGCTATGTGCTGGGTTGTTGACTTCTCCTTCCTTCAGTTATCTACTGCAATAGGGAGAAACAGCTCTTCCTTTCCCAGAAGAGCTGTGCCCTTTTCTAGAAGGGCAACAGAGTTCCTTCCCTTCTGTGCCCTTTTCTAGAAGGGCAACAGAGTTCCCTTAAACAGCCAACAAAGGTTCTGCTAAACCACTGTGGTTCCTGTAACAATTAGTATGGCTGTGACCAACACTGAGAGAGGAATTACAGGAGGTGCAGCTGACAGCACAAGCAAGTGTGCCTTGATACTCCTGAGGCAGGCAGAGAGGACAGAATCCTGTGTGGGACCACCACTGCTCAGCACCTTCCCTCCCCAGTCTCACATATCTGAGAGTAGTAACAGTAGCTGCACCTAGAAATGAGGGTGAGTGCAAACCCTGCACCTGATACCAGCACCTTGTGACAGAGTGGGGACACACAGCATCTGCTGCCAGCAGGAGCTGGCTGCCCTTCTGAAGGCAAAGTCTTTCTGTCAGGATAATATCTAATGTCTAGCATGTCTCACACTGACACTGTCACTCTAATCCTGCTAGCAAGAACAGTCAGATCTTGTCATCTCACCACAAAACCAAGGCACGTGACATGATTACACACATTGCTGTTTTCCTCTCCTTTTCTTCCACCTGGAACTAGCAGTACCTTAATAGCTCCAGTTCCCTCGAGATCATCCTGAGCAATAGGTCATCACCATCTCCTCAGAAAGATGAAGCACAAGAGCATGTTTTGCCAGGCTGCTTTTCTGCAAGCAGAGAGAAAGAAATGCAAACCTTTCAGCCCTGGACCCAACAACATGTGATATCTCATCATCCCCTGTCAACTTCTGCTTCTGCTCCCTCCCTCTGCTGAACTAGTGGACTGGACAAAAGACATGGGCTTGTTCTCAGTTCCCCAAAACTGGCTCAGTCAGAAGGATGACACTATGGCACAGCTGTCCCTGGCTGAGGGCAGTGCTGGGTACCAATCTGCTGTACGTCAGCTCAACACTAGACACTCACAAGGTTTGATTCTTTCCGTGTGCTTTGCCTTCTTTACTCCTTTCTCATGACTTGCTTTTTGGAGGCCAGACTGGTTTTCTCTTGATTAGTGAGAAAAACTGGCTTGGAGAAGATCCAGGACCAGCAAAACACCTAGGTAATGCAGGGGCAGAGAGAGAGAAGGGGGGTAGCAGGAACTGTCTGCTTTGGTGGCCATGAGCTGTTGGATCAAGATCACCCTCTTCTGTGGGTTAGATCCTCACATGCAGTGAGTCACACTGCCTGTGGTGCACCCTGGTTCTTGCAGAGGGCTGCTGGAAATAAACACGGGCTAGAAGCAGTTTAGTGCAACTCACTGCTGTGTGTGGGAAACCCAGGACAGGGAGGCTGCCCATTTCACACCACAGGACAGATTCAAATTCCCAGATTTACAGCCAGAACTCCATTAGACTGTCTCACCCGATCAGTTTACAACTCAGGCTCTCTGGCTATCTCCTTGCTTCTCTCTCTTGACACCACCACCTGAAGCTGCACCTTGCAGCCAACATCTAGAGCTCTGGGAGCTGGTGAAGCTGGCACTGGTCACTGACCCTGTCTGCATTTCAGCCTGACCGCCTGCGGGATGAGGAAATCACAGAGCTGGAGGAATGTCTCCAGAGCCTGATTGTTCACCAGAGCATCAACAACAATGTGGCTGTAAAGGACTGTGAGTCTCTGAACTCCCCACCTCTACCTCATCCTGCTCAAGGCAGCTCCCTTTCCCCACAAGGCACCTTCAGCTTTCAGGGACAGCAGTTTGGTGAGTAAGCAGAACTGACCAAGAGAGCCCTTGGTCTTCCTTACCTTAAGGCCCAAAAATGGAGAATGAACATAACTACATATTGGAGTCTTAACTCAGAGGAATCAAGGATTTCCCATAAGGAGGGAATGACAATAATCCTAAATTATTGCCATACTGCTTCAGATCAGGCCTCAACCTGGTTTCTTTCTGGGGTGGCACAGAACCAGATGCCTCAGAGTCTGTGTCCCTTCCAGGTTCCTCACATTTTAAAACTCAATACTGAAAGGGAAGAACACAGAGTAGTTTTTTTTCTTCCTCTGCATCATTTGGTTGAGGTGAGTTAATGGCCTGGGTTGGATCAGCTTGGGAAGGTTACTGGGGACCATCAGCCCTGCTGTCAGCCAGGACTGGTTTGTCCAGGCTCCCTGTCACTGGCTGCCTCTGGCTTCTGTCCCCTACAGGGACAGTTTCACATAGCACTTCTAGCTTGGGATCAGCCAGATCATTTCTGTGCTTAAGGTGTGCATGCAGTCTGCAGTGAGCCCAGGAGAGAGCTCCTGCCTGCATCTTGGTGTTTGCAGGATGGCTGGGTCAGGAACAGGGGACCTGGTCAGAAAGGCCTTGCCAAGTTGCTTTAGAAAGGCTGAAACAAAGACACAGGGTGGCCATCAGAAAAACACCAATGAGCTCTGGCAAACCACAGGACACTCCCATCCTGGGGGAAGGACAAAGAAAAAGGAAAACAGGCATTGTCAAGCTTGCAGGATGGGGGCAAGCCCAGGTACTCTCTCATGTTGTGGGAGGATCTCAATAAGGGAATGGCCTGAGCAAGGCAGGGAGCTCAGATGTGCCTGGGCAGGTGGCTGTGAGCAGGTAAGTGTGTCACCAGGTGCTACAGTTTGTCACCCAAGGCACCAGCAGTGTCCTGGGGGATGGCAGGTTGTGTGCAGAGCAGACATGTCCATCTCAGACACAAAGAGCAGGGACACCCTGAGCTGTAAGGCTCACTCCAGCTGGTTTTCCCTTCCCAGGAGTGGAGGAATGTCATCAAGAGCACACAGAGCCCTGTGCATGACCCCTGCCCATGGTGGGACCATCCCTTTTAGCTTCACTGCTCTTGCACTTCTGCTCCAAACAGCACTGCCCTGGTGTTAAAAACACCTGAGCACAAGCAGAGCAGCCCCACAGCAGTTCTAAGAACTTGCTGCGGACACTGAACACGTTCCCTGCTCCACAGAATATTGAGCAAACTTTGGGCTGGCCCAAGCTGCATCCCATCAGCCATGGAACACCTGTGTTTTACCTGCCCTCTGTCCCTTGCAGCCAACAGAACCCTGTCACCAGACGACCACCAGAAGTTTGCCAAGCTGGTGTCCAAGAAATGGAAGCAAGTGGGTCGCTCTTTGCAGAAGAACTGCCGGGCCCTGCGAGATCCTGTCATTGATAACCTGGCCCTGGAATATGACAGAGAGGGACTGTATGAACAAGCCTACCAGATGCTTCTCAGATTCATCCAGTCAGAGGGGAAGAAGGCCACAATAGCCCGGCTCATCGCAGCCCTGGAGGAAAATGGTCTCATCAGCTTGGCTGAGGAGCTCTTGGGCCTCCATTCCAACGAGGACTGCTCCTAGAGCCTGAAGGGTAGTGGCATTGCTAAGGGCTTTCTTGCTTCAGCTAGTGTGTGAGACTGCTGCCAGTGCCTGGGAATGTAACATCCTGAAAAGCCCTGCAGGTTTCCATGTAAATGGGAACACCCAGGGGAGGGGTTCTGTGCTGACAGAAGCAGCAGGGACCTCTGATGTTCCTTATTTCACTCTGTTTCCAGAAGTCAACGTTACCTTCCCATGAACTGGTGAGAGAGGCTTTCAGCCTGACTTCCTTCAGGACTGAAATGCCACAGGGGAGCAGCCACTTCCAGAGCCTATGGGGGAGTGAAGGAGAGGAGAACAGCAAGGAAGGACTCTTGGAGAATTTCTCTGGGAAGCAGACAATGCCACTGCTTCTCAGGCTGTGGCCCAGGGCCACCACCTGGAGAGCTGGAGTATATTTTTTATATTGAAGACATTTACACCCCCCAGGCATGACATCAAGCAGACAGAGGGGAAATTAAGGAAAAGTAAATGAATATTCTTTTCCTTCCTTCTTGAAACAAGGAGCACCTGTCCTGCCCTACTCTCATATAGCTCCTGCCCACCTCTCACCACCTGGGGGTTCCCCATTTACCTGGGACAGTCAATCTTCCAGATGGCACAAGGTTGCTGCTGTAGAACAAGTCTCAGGCACTGAGCAAGCGATATGGACAAACACAAATTCAGAGAATGATTCCCAGCTTTTTTCTGGACCATGGTGGACAATTCAATATTGACTACATCACACTGAGCTCCTTCCCACCAACCCCAGGGAGCCTGCACCTGTGAAAAGCAGAACATGGTGCTGGAAGGAAAATAGTCTCCTAGTCAGCAAGTTCCCTATGGAGCACAGAGCTCCAAGGTATGTGTCAGTATCAAAAACCATCCTGACTGCAGCCCACAGAGCTGAGCAGTCACCTGTGACCAGCTGGCTCCTAGTGCCTTTGCTCTCAACTCAACCACCTGCTGCTTTCACCAGCAAGGACAGCTCAGGCCATTGTGTCCCACAGGAGCTGGGACTTGCACAGAGCCTGCTGGTGTTGTCACTGTGTGACAATTGGGCATCAGCTGCTGTGCCTGGATTTACCTGCCCTGATTTTGAGGGTTAAAAATGGCTGAAAGGACAAAGCACTCACCCCCCAGGGCTGGCTCCTGCTTTCAGTTCTGGTGGGAGAAGCTGACACTCCTGGTATGGTTGATGCAGACTGCAACAGAGCAGAGTTTACACCTTTGTCCATAACAAAGCAACAAGTCTCTAGCATGGCTTGGGTCCTGTGGAGCACAACAGCAGCTTGATTACCTTTGACATACTCCTTACACTTTCCTGATAGGTTTTTACTTCTCCTTTGCCATTAATTCTCTCCCTCTTTGTCCTTCCTGTCAGTGGGAATAATCAGGTGCAGAAATTACTCAGAAATAATGGAAATTATTTCAGGTGCAGGGGGTGGCTCTGCCAGCACTTAAAGCCTACGTGTGCACACAAGTATGGGGCCAGGGGCAGTCAGGGCAGGATCAGCTTTCAGAAAGACAAGCCCTGATGGCCTTTTAAACCACAACTCACATCTTTATCCTTCCTGAGTCGAAACCATAACTTGGTGGGCAGGGATGCAATGTGGGATTCAGGTGTGGACTCAGATCCAAGCTCCTGGAGCTGCTGCTGCTCCCTTCACTTCTGCTAAAACTCATGCTGTGAGCATCAGCTAACTGAAGACCAGGAGGATTTAGATGGCCAGCTTCTACCCAGCTGGGGTGCACAGGCCTCAGGGGTGCTGAGGATGGTGTAAGCCTGAGGAAGGTGGCTTTTCTCTGCAGGTTTTGAACCCCCAAGGTTACATACACAGTGTGGAAAGGAAAGGGAGGAGGTGAAAGATGGGGAGAATGTTTTTATGGTGCTTCCTTCAAAGGAAGCAGGACTTCACACAGGAAGCACCTCTACATAGACCATGGCTCTGTGATCTTTTATGAAGCCATTCTACATCAGTGTTCTTGCAGTTTCACTGCTCCCTTTCCCTTACAATAGTACCAAGTGCTCTTCCCAAAATGAAGCAATTCTCTGACAGTCTTGCTGTCAGGACCAGCACAGCCATGCTGATCTTGGTTAGCTCAGGCTTCTCTGGAAACCACACCTCAAAGCACTTAGCTTTCCTGCCAGATCCCAAACAAGGAGCCCTGTTTGGCAGTGACCCACCTGGCAAACAGTATTTCAAACCAAAAAAAAATAGAAAACCACATCAGAGACTTGAAAATGACTTTAACAGCAAGAGGGTTTGCTCCTGATTTTGCAAAAACTGTTTTTTAGAAGACAAGGTCTCATGCATAGCCTGCTGTCTCATTTGGAATGAATGCTCCTGAGCCCTCAGACAAGCTGTTCACCTGCACAACTCTCATGTTTAGTTAAAAGGCAGCCACTGAGTAGTGCTGGCTTTTACAGCATCTCTTAATGCTCCAAATAAGAAAGCTTTATTATTCAGTATCTACTTCAAGTCCAAAAAAACCTTCTCTGCTGCTATTACTGCCTTACAGGGTAATGCATTCATAAGCATGAATGCTTTTTTTCTTAATGCAAACCCTGTGCATTTTACTCCTCTGCCAGCAGTTGGCATAAGTGTTTCCTCTTACTCACTGATTCCTTCTCAAAAGTGCCATTAAGTGCTGGAGCTCCTGGCAGCCTTTCTGGAATATCTTTTAACAGCATTCACAGGTGCCTTCATTGCAGAGATTCGAAGGAAAAGAGTTTTCCAGTGATATTCCATGGTGGAATTGTCTTGAGCACATGGCATAGGTTGAGACCACAGCAGTGGCTGTTTCATACCTTCTTTTCTGTGGTCAATCATAGAATCATGGAATGGTTTGGGCTGGAAAGGACCTTAAAGATCATCTAGTTCCACTCCCCAGCATGGGCAGAGATATCTGCCCATCATGAGATGCAATGAAAACTCAATTCTGGTCTCAAGGGGACACTTTCCTGCTAAAAGAGTAGGTTTTTTGTCTAGCACAAGCAGAGAAAGAATTTTCACAGCAGGCTTAGAATGAAATAGATCAATTGGATCATGGGTACAGGATGTCATGTGCATTGATCTGGTGTGGCTGGGGCTTGACTTGTTTTAATCAGAAGACAGATTATTGCTGAAGACATTAGAGACATGTCTTACCTCAGATAGCAATGTAGTGAGTAGAACTGAAGAAAGAGCTGGATGTTGGGGATACTTGCTGGTACACCCGGAATTTGGTGCTACACAGACTCAGGGTTCTAATAAACCCCTCCAGTGCCTGCCAGGCAGTTGGGAGAGGAGTTCCCTTTTCCTCCTCACCTGTGCAAAGTTAGCTGCACCCATCCTGCACCTACTCAGGTGGCAGGCAAGCAGGTGACCCTCCCTCACTGCTGTTGATAGCAAATAGCTCATGTCTAGTGTGTGGGACAAGCCACAGGCAGTGCTGCTGCTGGCAAACTTGGCCTTACCCTTAACAGCTCTTCTCTGTGTATTAGGATATGTTTGGAAAAAAATAATAGATTTCTGGGGGAGGGTGGTGTTTCAGAATCAAACATTCAGCATGATATTAAAAGCAAATAAAGATGATTATCAGTTGCATATAGAAAAGAAGAAATAAAGTATAAAACAAACTGCAGAAACCAGGCCAAGAAATGCTTCCAGGAAGGGATCCAAGAGGGCTTCTTTTTTTTTTTTTTTTTGTGGTACAGATTGTTTATGTAGTTTTAGCAATGTTTCAGATTTGAAGGAGGCTCCTTTCAGTCTGCCAGAGAGAATAAAAGCTCCATCCAAAGGAGAAGTTGAATGATTTGTTTTGGCATAGGGGAGCCACAGTGTTCACAAAGACAATAAGAAGAGGAGAGTGAAAGTTAAAATGCTCACCAGATACACTGTGACCTGAGAGATGTGACTCAGACAAACCTGAGAGTATATTCTGATATAAAATTGTCACAAAGGCAAACATCAAACTGTCCTGGAGGGCAAAGTCAGGGGATAGACTGACATGAACCCTCTTAGATATTTGGTAACCAGAGATCAGTTCATCTGCTGAAGACCGCAATGCCCCAGCAGAGCAGATAGGGAAGGTGCTCTCTTCCAGCAGCTTCAGTTTTCAACTGCTTCCAGGGGACCAGTTTGTCTCAGAACTGCTGTATCCATTTCAAATTCAGTTGAAACTGAGATGGAAAACAGAATATTCTTTGCCACACTGTTAAGATATGGAAAACATAAGGCAAAGAAAGGGTGGATGCTTAGAGCTGAGGGGAACTACTTGTTCAGAGGAGGCATAGGTGCTTGGTGCAGACACTGCTCCAGAAAAAGATCTTCACCCAGTGTGAGGAACCTGGGGGAGGGGTTTCCTTACCTGTGAATTTTACCAACCATCTCACAATCTGCTTCAGCACTGAAGCTGTCCTGCTGCCTGGGTCCCTGCATCACCTCTTCTCTGTGGTTTCAAAAAGCACCTTGGAGCCACCTCTGAGTCCCAGCCCAGCAGCTGCCACAGCCCCTGAAACCAAAAGTGAGCACAAACAGCAGTGAGGAGCCTCCAGTTCCCTGAAGCTGCTGGTTCAGGTCAACTGAAAATTCTGGTATAGGTGGGATCCTCTGGAATTGTACACCTTGAGCTAGGGTGAGAGGCAAGAGGGTTTCTTCAGTCTCACACACATATTGGAGAGTGTGCATGAAACTGGTGAGATCCTCTGCTTTAGACCAGACAAGGGTCTGGACATTTGTCTTCTCTGCAGAAGTGAAGCAATTTAAGGCCTAGAGTAGAAAATTATTTTCTTTTTTCATCTCTGGATTGAATTTTAAAGAGATTTGGCCACACATGTCTAACTGAAACCCATAGGAGAGGTGTGGTCAAGTCCCTTAGTCATCAGGAGAAAAATCCCTTGCTGACCTAATTCCAAACTTCCTTGATACTCAGCATCAGCCACCCAGAGCTATGGACTGCAAGGCCATGGATACTCAAGTCTGGGACATTCAACCTCCAAGGAATTGTCTTTTACAGAA